ATCCGACCGGAATCATATCCGACCGGAATCATATCCGACCGGAATCATATCCGACCGGAGTCATATCCGGCTGAAGTCATATCCGGCTGGAATCATATCCGACCGGAGTCATATCCGGCTGGAGTCATACCCGACCGAAGTCATATCCGACTGGAGTTTTATCCGAGCGAAATCATATCCGACCGAAGTCATATCCGGCTGGAGTCATATCCGACCGGAATCATATCCGACCGGAATCATATCCGGCTGGAGTCATATCCGACCGGAGTCATATCCGACCGGAGTCATATCCGACCGGAGTTATATCCGACCGGAGTCATATCTGGGCGGAGTCATATCTGGGCGGAGTCATATCTGGGCGGAGTCATATCCGAGCGGAGTCATGTCCCGCTGGAGTCATATCCGGGCGGAGTCATATCCAGGCGGAGTCATATCCCGATGAAGTTATATCCGAGCGGAGTCATATCCGACTGGAGTCATATCCGACCGGAGTCATATCCGAGCGGAGTCATATCCGGGCGGAATCATATTCGAGCGGAGTCATGTCCCGCCGGAGTCATATCCGAGCGGAGTTATATCCGAGCGGAGTTATATCCGAGCGGAGTCATATCCGAGCGGAGTCATATCCGAGCGGAGTCATATCCGAGCGGAGTCATATCCGAGCGGAGTCATATCCGAGCGGAGTCATATCCTGCTGGAGTCATATCCGACCGGAGTCATATCAGGCTGGAGTCATATCCGACCGGAATCATATCCGACCGGAACCATATCCGACCGGAGTCATATCCGACCGGAGCCATATCCGACCGGAGTCATATCCGACCGGAGTCATATCCGGCTGGAGTCATACCCGACAGGAGTCATATACGAGCGGAGTTATATCCGGGCGGAGTCATATCCGAGCGGAGTCATGTCCCGCCGGAGTCATATCCGGATGGAGTTATATCCGGGCGAAGTCATATCCGGATGAAGTTATATCCTAGCGGAGTCATATCCGAGCGGAGTTATATCCGGGCGGAGTCATATCCGAGGGGAGTCATATCCGGATGGAGTTATAATCGGGCGGAGTCATATCCGAATGAAGTTATATCCTAGCGGAGTCATATCCGAGCGGAGTTATATCGGGGCGGAGTCATATCCGAGCGGAGTCATATCCGACCGGAGTCATAGCCGACCGGATTCATATCCGACCGGAGTCATATCCGGGCGGAATCATATCCGGCTGGAGTTATATCCGAGCGGAGTCATGGACTACAAAAAACTAACTTGATGAAATTTATTGATGATTTTAGGGGGAGGGCGGTTTGACAAATAATCACGTGGGGGAGGAGGGGTAAAGTAAGACATTACGTGTATTCATTTTTTACCAAACATTTAAAAAAATATATTTTTTTCTCGTAACTAAAAATACACGAAATTTAAAATCTTTATTAATTAAGAAAATCGACCGTGCAAGGTAATTAAAAGAAATTATATCGGGGAGTTATATCCGGGCGGACACATATCGGGCCGGAGTTATATCGGGGCAATGTCATATCCGATCGGAGTCACAGCCGGTTGGAGTTAAATCTGGGAGAAGTCATATTCGCCATATGGACTACAAAAAACTAACTAGACTAAATTTACTTAAATGTAGTAATAGTAATATTTACCACCGTCTGTATTGATTCAGAAAAAACAGTGAGAAAAATTTACGATTTTTTCGCTTTTTAAGCCTTGTATCAAACTCTGTTCGCAATTAACTTTAGTAGTAAATATCACTTTTCTTGTGTATATTTTAAGTCATATCTTGTCACTGACCTTAAAGCATCTGTGCCAAGTAGTCAGAAACTTGATTTAACTAATTTTTTGGTAATTTTTGTAAATTCGAATATTGAAGTTTAAAATAATCAGTGAAGTGCCATTTGAACCCTGAGAATTATTGCATTTTGCAACTTCTCTTCAAAATTCTCTTTCATAATGTTTAGTTTTATATAAGCAATTTATCGCATATATCGTTTTCAGATTATGATGGATAGTTGTAATTTTATTAGAAAGTAATGAGGAAAATTCAAATTCAAGCTAATCTTTTTAAAAAGTAAGGTCAATCCGGGATAAAAAACATAATTCCGGCGCCAGGGAAGTACCGTCCCGGCCAAACCGGGACATCTTAGATAATTCCAAAAAGCATTTTTTTATGTAAATGCTTTACCGATACTATTCTACGTTACATTCAAATTACCAAAATTTTCAAATTGCCCCCCTGAATTCATAAATTGCCCCCCGGTGGGGCGTGCGCCCCACGTTGGGAAACACTGGTCTAGAGGCTAGAGAGTCTAGAGGTGTGAATTTTATATGATTTTTGAAAGGTCATAAAACACAGGGCAAACAATATTTTTATTGTCCATTTTTTATTAATATTCTAACTAAGAATACAAAGAAAAAAACATTGCAAATTAAAAACAGCCAAAACGTTTTAATTTTAGCGTGATGAAATGGAAGGTCTCAAAAAATTGACGATTGGTTATACTCCCGATTTAGCCCTCTAAATAACCCGATCGAAAAAGCATTATTAATCTGCGACTGTCTAAAAAAAGATCCACCTTTTTTGATGTTCTTGAATTTTTCAAAAATAGTTAAAATTGGAATTTGGAGATGAGCGTAGTTCATACTTATAAAAAGTCAATAAAAAAGATTTTGTAAAAATTTCAGGTAAATCGATTCAGTAGAATTTGACAAATCCGTGGGTATCGTATTCGAAAAGACAGTTTCGAGAAAAATGCGTTTGAAGTTTTGCGGAGGAAGGAAGCAGATAAGGATTATTGTAGTCCAACAGCCGGTAATTTAAATTTTAAAAAATCCTCTTGTATTAATAATCTTGAATAGTTGAACTTTGAAAATATGAAAAAATAGATTTCTTAAAAGTTCTAGAACACCCCCTTAAATAAAAATCAATCTTTTTTTGTAATTGCCTGTTCCAATATAACTCTTTTTCCTAAATTTTTTTATGAAAATGTGCAAGGGCAATCAGTATACTCAGATCTGGCTGTTTAGTCTGTGAACTAAACTTAAATGTGTATAAAAGCGAAAGCCTGCGATTACATTTTTAATATCTTTTTTTTGTTATTTTCTGTTAACTACATAACTAAAAATTAGATAAAATTGACAAGATCCACGATTAATAAATAGACCGTTTTACACGTCGAACAAGAACGTACAAATATATTGTTTCAACAATTTATTACAACCGAGCGATCTTTAGCTGATATTTTTCAATAGTTTTTCATATTTTCAGGCTTAGAATTTTTTGTGAAAACATAAACTTCTTCTTCGAGAAGCAGTAAATACGTTTTGATATTTTTTTTCTAAAAAAAATTATACAAAACATATTAAATACAATTCTTTACTTGTTTGTATATTTTCTTTGGTGCATGGTGCAAAAGGCTAAATAAAAGAAATTAAGTTTTTGAACATTTATTTTTAAACATTTTCAATTATGTAACATTTACGATTATACTACAATAATCTACTACGACACTATCGAATAACAGATTTTTACATGACTAGTATTTTTTTATTATTTTTTCGCACGTGTGTGGTGGAAAAATATTAGCATCACCTTTTCCTATTTCACATATGTGCAAAAAATTCTGATTCAACCCTCAATTATTGCAATTATTGTAGTTATTACAAATAATTACAATTATTCTTATTGATTATATTAATCACTGTATTAATAATAATTATTGCTTTTTATTGCAGTTCTTTTAGAGAAACGACATTAGGTAATACAGTTGCATTTTGCAATGGTAAAATAGTAATGCAACATAAATAATTAATGCCAAAATTAGTTTTCTTAAATTAGTTTTAAATATTTTAGTTTTTGTATATTTTATAACGATCCATTAATTAAATCTCGAGATATATGTACTTTTTATACAGATGAAATTCAAATAAAGGGTATGGGCGATCGGCGTGCTTCCATACAGAATGGGCCTCACTTTGGTATTTAAATGATTTTGATGCCAATTTATAGGTCTTTTCTAAAAAATACAATATGCCAATTTTCAACTCCCTATCTCTTCGTTTGGCCGAGATATCAGTGAATACATGTGAAAGTGGCCCCTTTTTTCAAACTCACTTTTTGTCGGAAATATAAAAGATATCAAAAAAATGTTAACGTCATACTATTTGCACTGATATAGTCTATGTTGTTCATAACAAATAATGTGAAAAAATTATTTGTTAGTGCATGAAAAGGTGAAATAATTTTTCATTTTCCATTTCCTACTAGTGCGGCTCTTTGGACTACTTTTGAATTAGCATCATTCGAAGGCCTGTACATTTTTCTTCTGCTATTCAAAAATTCAATAATTTTTTCACATTATTTGTTAAAAACAACATAGATAGTATCAGTGTAAATAGAATGACGTTAACATTTTTCGATATCTTTTATATTTCCGACAAAAAGTGAGTTTAAAAAAGGGGCAACTTTCACATGTTTTCACTGATATCTCGGCCAAATGATGAGATAGGAAGTTGAAAATTTGTATATTGTATTTTTTCGAAAAGACCTATAAAATGACATCGAAATCATTTAAATACCAGGGCGGGGCCAATTCTGTGTGGAAACACGCTCATACCCTTTCTTAATAATATACACACATTACATACAACAACGATTAACAAGAACAGTTGATAACATATGAATATATGATTTAAAAATTTTATATATGAACCCTATTACAACTTTCTAGCGAACAAAACGTTTTGATAATCCATCATATGCGGAATACAAAAATTTTGTTTACTATAAAAATTCATTTTGACCACAACATTTTTATCTCACATGAAAGCGAATAATCTATCACATTTTTTTTTTCTAAATATCAAATGATAAATGTATGTGAACATGTATCGAACGTTTTTCAGTTCAAATTCAATACCACTAGATGTTTTCAACAGTGCAGATTTAGTTTCGGTACTGAATTTTGAACTAAAACTGATTAATTGCAATTGCTTCAAAAACTTATATTAAAAAAGCTTCGTGCCACAAATGCAGTCGATAATAAAAGTTTCGAAACTCCAAATATTGGTGCATTACTAGTCATTTCGAAATCGTTATATTTCAGCATTCTATCTCCCAGTGGCTTTGTTGCACGATAATTTTTCTTCAGATAAGAGTCGCCAGTAGTATGAGTTTTTTGAAAAATTTTCAGCTGAAAAATAGACAATATATAAATAATAGGTAAAAAATTTTGAAGATTTGAGTCGAAGACGTTCAACTTAGTCCGAATGCAACCGAGATTAAATTGTAAAATTTTTCGTCGTGGAATCCCATTTAAATTTTTTAAAAGCTATTTTATTGAGCAAGCAAGTTGTATTAACTACATTTATAAGTGATAATTATAGCTGTTTGAATTTAATTATTATAGAAATATTTGTAGAACCTCTGATGCATAAAAAGAGATTCTTTCAAGAATTTTCTGTGAACTGTTGCTCAACAAATCGTAATTCTTTGATAAAAATAACACGGTATAACGGCTGAACCGACATACATTGTTAGACCATGCAAAATCTTTCTAGAAAATTTCTAAATTAGCAAGAAAACTAACCTATTATTAAAAGTAAAAGAAAATGGTCAAAAAATAAAAAAATCTTTTGGTGATGATTTATGAGCTCATGAAAATCTTAATCGAAATTTACTAAAAAACATTCACCCTCTGAAGTTAGGATGAAAAATGGTTCGATAATTGAAATTGTATTACTAAATAACAATTTTGGTAGAAAGGTGAAAATTTAGGGCTGTCTGGTAAGAACGCTGGTAATAGAAGCTGGTAATTCTGGTTAAAAACAAATTAATTCATTAATAAAATATGTTTCATATCCTTAAATAGTATTTTACTTATATAAAAATTATATTTTAAAATAAACCCTCACTGTCCCGGATGAGCTCACTAAAATTACTGTCCCGGTTTTGACTTGAAAAATATGGTTATTTTATAAATAGTAGTTTCATACGTTTAAATATGTAAAGGGCATTCTACAAAATGAGTTATGTAATAAATATAATTTGGGAAGCTATCCATAAAATAATATTTTGTTTGTTTAAAAACAAAAATACAAATATCAAGAAACAAAAAACATGCTCAAAAACGAAAAAAGTTCAAAAATGAAAAATATATTTCAAAATTATTACTTAACGTTTTGATGTTTTAAATTTATGACATTTAAATATCAACGAAGGTATTTTATTTTAATTAACATGGAAAAGTTCATATATTTATCTTAACACAATACTAATCCTATTCTTAAGCTATTCATAAGTATTCCATATGTTGACTTATAACGTCCGCGTATAATTCAAAAATATTTCCAATCATAAATAAAATATTAAAACAATTAGAGTTTGTTTAAAAACATGAGATATCTATCAAAATATTTTAAAGCATCAAACCTATTCAAAAATATTTAGTGTTTATTATAGGGAATGCAGATTTGCACAGCATGTCTTCAGCAAACAATTGAGTTTGCAGCAATGCTTATTTCGAATTCAAAATAAAGATCTATATTATGAAAATATTTCATTGTTGAATGAAATTGACTTTTTGACAATGCTTACCTGTTCATCAGATATTGGCAGGCTGTGTTCGAATACAGTCCACAAAACAACTTCGTCGCACGTTGGTGTCGTCAGAGAACCTTCGTATCTATAGAAATTATACCTATTCTGTGGGAGAAAATGTGACAAATTTATTTCTTTTTCAAGTGGATGTTGAGATGAATCCTGACTGTTTAGAACTTTCTTGGCGGAATCCAAAATAATATCCAACGCTTCATTATCTTCATCTGATATCTGGAAATGGAAAGACATATAAGGTAAGTCATTGACATCACCTTTTACTGCATTTTTCGTGAGAATAGTTTAGAAATTTAATTTATAGATTCGACATTATACTGTATATATATATATATATATATATATATATATATATATATATATATTAGAATTCAAAGTTTATTGTATATATATTAGTATTGAAGGTTCATTGTATATAGATTCATATCAGATGCCATTACAATAAATAAATAAAAAAAAGTGTTCAATACGTAATATTTATGCAATAATAAATTATTTATTCACTAAATTTATATCAATAACAGAGATAAGAGATTTTTTTATTATTATTTTGAACAGCAATCGGAACTTGAGAATCCTATAAAGTGTTGTGTTAATTAGACTTAATACTGGTTGGTTCTACAGATAGAACCTTAACAGTTGTCCCATCTATTTGTGATAAATTATTATTACAATTTCTGTAATTAGGCGAATATTTATTGATGCAACAATGCCGGATAAGGGATATTTTCACTTACAAACATATTAAAATATGTTGTTAGAAACATATTGCTATCTATATTTTCAAGTGAAAACCTCTGATTCAGGTCTAGTCTTCTACTTACCTGAACTACGAGAGATCCCAGATAAGAGATAACTAAAATTGAAATTTTCAAAATTTGATATATATGTTATTTTGATATCTTTTTTTTAAGTTTTGATGTGAGATAAAAATTTACACAGTAGATGATAATTTGTGCACAAGTGTCCCCTAAAGGCATAAAGTGGGTCGAATTTTGCTTCAGTATTTATCACTTTGAGTTAAATTATTGAGAATTCTAATTTGTTATTAACTTCCCGTAGGGCAAATTATAGTAATCGCAAAAAAATCGAAAATGAAAATTTTTATATATTTTATATAATTATTTTTATATATTATATATAATTATATATTAGTCTTGAATATATTGTTAAAAATGTACAAAAGAAAATTAACAATTACATAAAACACAACTTGCATTGCATTGCAAATTTCATGCATCTGTAAAATATATCACTTTAAAACAAAATTAAATGTTATCCGTTTGTAAAAAAAGTAAAAACATCATCGATTTGACAAAACTAACTAAAAAAATGCCACTTAATTTTTTTAAAACTTATTTACAAGGTGTCCCAGAACTTAACGTCAAGCCAAAATTAAGTAAAAAATTCATCAATTTTGAAAATGAAAAAATGCCGCTTAATTTTCAAAACTGAATTTGTAAATATCACCTAATTTTTTTTATATACATATAAGAGTGCATATACAGACTTGTGGTGGTAATAAATCGACTTATTTGAAAAAAATGAAAATATTTTTATAAGGTGTCCCAGAACTCAACGTCAAGCCAAAATTAAGTAAAAAATTCATTGATTTGATGAATGATAACTAAATGAAAAAATAACGCCTAATTTTTAAACAGTAAATTTGTAAAAAAATATTTGCTTATTTGGAGAAAAACAGTCAAAAACCAATTTATTGCAAAAAAACAATAAAATTAATTATACAAAAAAAATTGCTTATTTTGATGAATAAAATCGTCAAATGTTAAAAAAGTATAAATAGCCAATTTGTTTAAAACAAAATTGTAAATTGGCGAATTATATAAAAAAACTTCAATTAAAAAAAAACGTCAGTAAATTTGTTAGAAAAGAGCGTAAAATGATGACATTTGTAAATATCCTGTATCAAAATAAACTAAAATACATTTGTTGAAAAAACTAAATTATTATCTTATACAATAATCCTACATCCTATATAACTGGAAACTTAGGATACCCTCATTTGTACATTGTACTAAAAAACTACACAATTTGGTAAAAAAATGTAAATCGTCTTTTTGAATAAAAAAATGTCAACTTCGTCTAAGGGACCGATTCTGCCGCAATGTTATGATAAGTTCATGTTATGAAGAATTTTCCATAGTAATATAGACAAAAGTTATGCGGTTGGTGTTCAGTCAGGCGAATTTCTCAGGTTTTCTCATACAAAACATAACCTAAAAGCCGCACAAATGTCAAAAAAACGATGTTAGATAAGTGTGTGTTTCTGATTTCTCTTAGGTGACATACGAGTGACGTTGCAGTTTATGTTTAAAACGCCGGAATGAACAGCAAATACATGATATTTTGACAGCATTCAGTATGATTCATTCGCATAATGTATGGGGAGTCGGAGCGTAACATAGCCATGCCGTAACATTTCTCTGTTATGCGCAGAATCGGTTCATAATTGTATAAAAAAGTGCCAAATTTAATCTAGTTAAAAAAAACTTTTATGATGTTCTTGGATGAGAAAAGGGTACAATGTTGCCCATTTGAAAAACAGAGTAAATTTGTAAAAAAAATTACCAAATTTGTAAAATAACTATCAAATGTCGTCCAGTTGTGTACTGAAATGCCATCCATACAAAATCCACGTCAATATCATGCAATTTAATAATAATCACTCATTTATAAAAAGACATTTATTTGACAACTTTACTTTCCAACAATTTATTCAACACCAAATTACAACCATTCATATACCACTTCATCATTGCATCCTCTCATTTTCCCGACGTCATCATCGAGTAAAACTCCTCATAGTCAATAACACCATTTCCATCGACATCAGCCTCCTTAATCATCTCCTCAATCTCCTCATCAGTCAACTTTTCACCAAGTCGATTCATCACGATCCTCAACTCCGAGGACGTGATCATGCCGTCGTCGTTCTGGTCGAAGACCTTGAAAGCCTGGATAAATGATCAGGGATAATGGATAATAGATAGAAGATAAGGGATAATAGATAGAAGATAAGGGATAAAAGATAAAGGTAAAAAAAATTGCCTTTTTGATCTCCTCCTCGTTTTGCAAACTCTTCACCTTCCTGCTGAGCGCGTGCAAAAATTGGGTGAAGTCCAATTTGCCAGTGTTTTCGACATCGATTTTGGCGACGATGTCGTCGATTTCCAATTCGGAGCTGTTGTAGCTGACAAACAAACACACACATACATATATATACATACATTATTTATAACATTTTAGAGATACCCCAAAGATCTCAGAACCAATTGAAGGTCTTTGGTGCTGACGAATCCGTCCTTTTCGAAAAACTGAAAGGCCTCCTGCGCCTCTTCAGTCTGCTCCTCTGTTAAATTCAAAGATTGTTCCGCCTCTGGTTCCGCTATAGAAAAAAATATTTTCGAAAATTGCAATAAAACTTAAGGAACTAGGTGCAAAACAAGAAAAGTTCCGACTAAAATTAGTATGGCATTTTTTGTTCTATTTGTATCAGAATTTATACAACTTGGAACATTAAGAACAATCACAGAAATAAAATTGTTAATTAGATCGATAGCAATTGAGAGATCCAGATATTCCCCAAAAATTCAACAAATTACTTCATCTGTTAATCCACCTGACCAATTTTCATTGAAGTCAATTTAATATAGAAAAGTTGATTGAGAAGTAATGGTTCTACTAACTAATGTCAGTGACTTTTTGCCACAAGTTATTAGCAATTAATGTCAAAATTTTAAATAATTTTTTTTTCTATTTTTTGAACTAAAATATTAAAAGTATAAATACAATATAAATTAAATATTTTTTACTAAATTTACCAGTTTTCGTCTGCCTCCTTGCACTACTCATCTTGATCCCAAAATAATCCCAAACTTTTAACAAAACTCTATTATTTTTTTTGAATAAATGATTTTTTTGAAACTCGCAATTAATTTATAAACTTCACAAAACGTTTTCACTCGAATAAAATAAAAGATTTTCAAAAATAAATGACACTTGTATCTTGTTAACTTGATTTATTCGAAAAAAAAAGATACTTGACAATAGAAAATGTCACTTGGAATTTGTTTTGTGTCATTGTTAGTAAATAGATTGGATATTATTATTTTAATTGAATCATTTCTATATTAAATATTTGGTTAATAACATTAGTCTTTTTATTGCACTTAAATGCAAATATTGTGTAAATCGAATTTTTGTCAAAAATTTATAGTTTCTCAAAAAGCTAATTTTTTTTCAAAAATGTTAATCTTTTTAAAAAAAATGTTTGGTACGGGAAATTCCAGCAATTTGCCTTAAGGCACGATGCCATGCACCCCACTAGTTGTGGTTTTTAGATTGCTAGAAACTATTGCAAGAAATGTAATTTTTAATTTAGCTCAACATATTCTAACAGGCGTTGACCACCGGTCTATGGCCCTTGTTCATCAGGCGGCATGGACACCTCTGGTCCGCAGAAGTTTATAAGTATTTGAGGAAATTATACTTTTCAAGAACTTTCACAAAACCATTGACAATGAGACTTTGCTGCTGATAACAACAAACATAACGTTTTTACTAGAGCAGCGATCTTTACTAAAAACTAATAAGCACGACACGCAACTGATACCTTTTGATGTTTTTTACATTTTCAGAATCGGTTCAGAATTTTTTGTGAAAACATGAACTTCTCCTTCGGGAAGTAGTAAATACATTTTGATATATTTTTTTCTGAAAAAAATTATACAAAACATATTAAATACAATTTTTACTTGTTTGTATATTTTCTTTTCTGGAAATATACGGTTGAAGTGCTGGTGGGTAACGTCAAAAATGGTGCAGGGTGCAAAGGGCTAAATAAGAGAAATTAAGTTTTTGAACATTTATTTTTAAACATTTTCAATTATGTAACATTTACGATTATACTACAATAATATACTACGACACTATCGAATAACAGATTTTTACATGACTAGTATTTTTTATTATTTTTTCGCACATGTGTGGTGGAAAAATATTAGCATCACCTTTTCCTATTTCACATATGTGCAAAAATTTCTGATTCAATCCTCACATGGTTTATCTGGCACCAATCACACCATACGATTTTTTCGATTGCTCAGACACTCCTTATAGTTATTGTAGTTATTACAAATAATTACAATTACTCTTATTGATTATATTAATCACTGTATTAATAATAATTATTGCTTTTTATTGCAGTTCTTTTAGAGAAACGACATTAGGTAATACAATTACATTTTGCAATGGTAAACTAGTAATGCAAAATTTGTTTTCTTGAATTATTTTTAAATATTTTAATTTTTGTATATATTTTGAGACGATCCATTAATTTAAACTCGAGATATATGTACATTTTGTACAGATAAAATTCAAATAAATTTCTTAATAATATACACACATTACATACAACAACGATTAACAAAAACAGTTGATAACATAGGAATATATGATTTTAAATTTTTATATAACTTTCTAGCGAACAAAACGTTTTGATAGTCCATTATATGCGGAATTCAAAAATTTTGTTTACTATAAAAATTCTATTTGACCGCAACATTTTTATCTCACGTGAAAGCGAATAATCTATCACAATTTTTTTGTTCTTTTCTAAATATCAAATGATGAAGTATGTGATCAAATGATGAAAACAGATATCGAACGTTTTTCAGCTTCAAATTCAATATCAGATTGATGTATTCAACAGTGCAGATTTAGTTTCTGGTACTGAATTTTGAACTGAAAGTGAATAATTACGATTGCTTCAAAAACTTATATTAAAAAAGCTTCGTGCCACAAATGCAGTCGACAATAATAGTTTTGAAACTCCAAATATTGGTGCACTACTAGTGATTTCGACATCGTTATATTTCAGCATTCTATCTCCCAGTGGCTTTGTTGCACGATAATTTTTCTTCAGATAAGAGTCGCCAGTAGTGTGAGTTTTTTGAAAAATTTTCAGCTGAAAAATAGACAATATATAAATAATAGGTAAAAATTTTTGAAGATTTGAGTCGAAGACGTTCAACTTAGTCCGATTGCAACCGAGATAAAATTGTGAAATTTTTTGTCGTAGATCCCATTTAAATTTTTGTTAATAGCTATTTTGTTGAGCAAGCAGTTGTATTTGCGTTATTAATAGGTGATAACTATAGCTGTTTGAATTAAATTATTTATAGAAATATTTGTAGAACCTTTGATGCATAAAAAAGGATTCTCTTATGAATTTTCTGTGAACTGTTGCTTAACAAATCGTTATTTCTTGATAAAAATGATACGTTTGCATAACGGCTGAACCGACATACATTGTTAGACTATGCAAAATATTTCTAGAAAGTTTCTAAATTAGCAAGAAAACTAACTTATTATTAAAAGTAAAAGGAAATGGTCAAAAAATAAAAATCTTTTGGTGATGAACAACCCTAAATAAAATTGTTAAATTTATGAGCTCATGAAAATCTTAATCGAAATTTACTAAAAAACATTCACCCTCTGAAGTCAGGATGAAAAATGGTTCGATAATTGAAATTGTATTACTAAATAACAATTTTGGTAGAAAGGTGAAAATTTAGGGCTGTCTGTGTTTTTAAATTACGCAAAATAAAAAATTGACCAATAAATAAATATTACTATGACCGTTAAGCAAATGAATAAATAAATAAAGAAATAAATGAAAGAAAATCTTTAGTTTGATCGTAAATTGACAAATGTATATATGTATCTATATATATATCCTTAATGAGGACCACCTTAATCATACCTAAATAACATTTTTATAATGTTCGATTTTTTTTCCGAAATTTTGATTGAATTGCGCACTATCTAAAAGTTAATATTAAGAGCTAAAACTTTTAGAGTTTTTTTTTATCAATTTGGAAGCATTTAAGCTCCTGGGAGCAATAAAATTCGAAAATGTCCATATTAAGGACCACTCTAATATATATATATATATATACATATATATATATATATACCTACAGTTTAATTGATGTTTTTTTTTGAACAATTAATCCAATAAATAAAAAACAATTAGTTTTTTGTAAATGTTTAATTACGATGTTTCGGAACTAGATACGTTTCATCATCCGATTTTTCTGTAATTTTGAACTATAAATTCATATTACTAATTTTTTGTCAAAAAATTAAAAATTTTGACTTCACTTTACTTATTCGGAAAAGAAACATATATAAGTTTATTGAAAAATCTAGCACTTTAATAGTAAGGTGACCATACGTCCCGGTTTGGCCGGGACAGCCCTGGATTGTCTACTACTACCTTGTATCTCGGTTTTCCCTAAAAGAAATATTTGTCCCGGATTTAGACCGTTTGCCCGGATTGTCCCGAGTTTTTAATTATTTATAGAAATATTTGTAGAATATTGGCTTAAATTGAATCTTTGCAATTATTGATAATAAAATTAAAACGACTCTCCAAATATTTGAAAATGCATGTGAGAATAAGAATTTATATAGCATATAAAGTTCTTACTAGAAGCTGGTAATTCTGGTTAATAACAAATTAATTCATTAATAAAATATTTTTCATATCCTTAAATAGTATTTTACTTATTTTAAAATTATATTTCAAAATAACCCCCCACCGTCAGGAATTAGCATCACTAAAAATTACTGTCCCGGTTTTGACTTGAAAAAATATGGTTTAATATATTTGTAGAGGGCATTCTACAAAATGAGTTATGTAATGAATATAAATAATTTGGGAAGCAATCCATAAAATGATATTTTGTTTGTTTAAAAAGAAAAATAATAATATCAAAGAGCAAAAAACAATAAGCTACTTTAAAAGTTCAAAAATAAAAATTATATTTCAAAATTATTACTTAACGTTTTGATATTTAAATATCAACGAAGGTATTTTATTTTAATTAACATGGAAAAGTTCATATATTTATCTTAACAAAATACTAATTCTATTCTTATGCTATTTATAAGTGTTCCATATGTTGACTTATAACGCTGCGTATAATTCAAAAATATTTCTTCAATACCAATCGTAAGTAAAATATAAAAATAATTAGGGTTTGTTTAAAAATATGCGATATCTATCAAAATATTTTAAAGCATCAAACCTAATAAAAATATTTAGTGTTTATTATAGGGAATGCAGATTTGCACAGCATGTCTTCAGCAAACAATTGAGTTTGCAGCAATGCTTATTTCGAATTCAAAATAAAGATCTATATTATGAAAATATTTCATTGTTGAATGAAATTGACTTTTTGACAATGCTTACCTGTTCATCAGATATTGGCAGGCTGTGTTCGAATACAGTCCACAAAACAACTTCGTCGCACGTTGGTGTCGTCAGAGAACCTTCGTATCTATAGAAATTATATCTATTCTGTGGCAGAAAATGTGACAAATTTATTTCTTTTTCAAGTGGATGTTGAGATGAATCCGGATTGTTTAGAACTTTCTTTGCGGAATCCAATATAATATCCAACGCTTCATTATCTTCATCTGATATCTGGAAATAGAAAGAATTATAAGGTAAGACATTGACATTACATCTTGCTGGATTTTTGGTGCAATATAGTAAAAGTGTTCGATAGGTAATATTTATGTAATAGTAATAAATTATTATTTCACTAAATTTATATCATTAACGGAGATCAGAGATTTTTTTTATTATAGTGTTGTGTTAATTAGACTTAATACTAGTCGGTTCTATTTGTGATAAATTATTATTACAATTTCTGTAATTAGGCGAATATTTATTGATGCAGCAATGCCGGATAAGGGGTATTTTCAATTACAAACATATTAGAATATATTGTTAGAAACATATTGTTATCTATATTTTCAAGTAAAAACCATTGTCACTACTGCTTGACCACAGGCTGCTCGAAGCGGGATCGATCCCGGGACCTCTGATTCAGGTCTAGCCTTTCTAGCCACTTACCTAAACTACGAGAGATCCCAGATAAGAGATAAACAATTAAAATTGAAATTTTCAAAATTTGATATGTATGTTATTTTGATATCTTTTTTTTTTAAGTTTTGATGTGAGATGGTGATAATTCGTGCACGAGTGTCCCCTAAAGGCATAAAGCCGCTTAATTTTTAAAACTGAATTTGTAAATATCACTTAATTTTTTTATATACATATAAGAGTGTATATACAGACTTGTGGTGGTAATAAATCGACTTATTTGAAAAAAAATGAAAATATTTTTACAAGGTGCCCCAGAACTCAACGTCAAGCCAAAATTAAGTAAAAAATTCATCGATTTGATGAATGATAACTAAATGAAAAAATAACGCCTAATTTTTAAACAGTAAATTTGTAAAAAAATATTTGCTTATTTAGAGAAAAACAGTCAAAAACCAATTTATTGCAAAAAACAATAAAATCAATTATACAAAAAATTGCCTATTTTGATGAATAAAAAGGTCAAATGTTAAAAAAGTATAAATAGCCAATTTGTTTTAAAAAAAATTGTAAATTGGCGAATTATATAAAAAAACTTCACTTAAAAAAACTGTCAGTAAATTTGTTAGAAAAGAGTGTAAAATGATGACATTTGTAAATATTCTGTATCAAAATAAACTAAAATACATTTGTTGAAAAAACTAAATTATTATCTTATACAATAATCCTATATCCTATATAACTGGAAACTTAGGATACCCTCATTTGTACATTGTACTAAAAAACTACACAATTTGGTAAAAAAATTTAAATCGTCTTTTTGAATAAAAAAAAGTCAACTTCGTCTAATTGTATAAAAAAGTGCCAAATTTAATCTAGTTAAAAAAAACTTTTATGATGTTCTTGGATGAGAAAAGGGTACAATGTTGCCCATTTGTAAAACAGAGTAAATTTGTAAACAAATTACCAAATTTGTAAAATAACTATCAATTGTCTTCCAGTTGTGTACTGAAATGCCATCCAGACAAAATCTACGTCAATATCATTCAATTTAATAATAATCACTCATTTATAAAAAAGCATTTATTTGACAAGTTTCCTTTCCAACAATTTATTCACCACCAAATTACAACCATTCAGATACCACTTCATCATTGCATCCTTTCATTTTCCCGACGTCATCATCGAGTAAAACTCCTCATAGTCAATAACACCATTTCCATCGACATCAGCCTCCTTAATCATCTCCTCAATCTCCTCATCAGTCAACTTTTCACCAAGTCGATTCATCACGATCCTTAACTCCGAGGAAGTGATCATGCCGTCGTCGTTCTGGTCGAAGACCTTGAAAGCCTGGATAAAAGATCAGGGATAAGGGATAATAGATAGAAGATAAGGGATAAAAGATAAAGGTAAAAAAAATTGCCTTTTTGATCTCCTCCTCGTTCTGCAAACTCTTCACCTTCTTGCTGAGCGCTTGCAAAAATTGGGTGAAGTCCATTTTGCCAGTGTTTTCGACATCGATTTCGGCGACGATGTCGTCGATTTCCAATTCGGAGCTGTTGTAGCTGACGAACAAACACACACACATACATATATATACACACATTATTTATAACATTTTAGAGATACCCCAAAGATCTCAGAACCAATTGAAGGTCTTTGGTGCTGACGAATCCGTCCTTTTCGAAAAACTGAAAGGCCTCCTGCGCCTCTTCAGTCTGCTCCTCTGTTAAATTCAAAGATTGTTCCGGCTCTGGTTCCGCTATAGAAAAAAATATTTTCGAAAATTGCAATAGAACTCAAGGAACTAGGCGCAAAACAAGAAAAGTTCCGACTAAAATTAGTATGGCATTTTTTGTTCTATTTGTATCAGAATTTATGCAACTTGGAACATTAAGAACAATCACAGAAATAAAATAGTTAATTAGGTCGATAGCAATTGAGAGATCCAGATATTCCCTAAAAATTCAACAAATTACTTCATCTGTTAATCCACCTGACCAATTTTTATTCAAGTCAATTTAATAAAGAAAAGTTGATTAAGAAGTAATGGTTCTACTAACTAATGTCAGTGACTTTTTGCCACAAGTTATTAGCAATTAATAAATAACATTTTTCTCTATTTTTTAATGTTTTTTGAACTAAAATATTAAAAGTATAAATACAATATAAATTAAATATATTTTACTAAATTTACCAGTTTTCGTCTGCCTCCTTGCAGTACTCATCTTGATCCAAAAAAAACCCAAACTGTTAATAAAACTCTATTTGAATAAATGATTTTTTTGAAACTCGCAATTAATTTATAAACTTCACAAAACGTTTTCACTCGAATAAAATAAAAGATTTTTAAAAATAAATGACACTTGTATCTTGTTAACTTGATTTATTATTCGAAAAAAAAGATATTTGACAATAGAAAATGTCACTTGGAATTTGTTTTCTGTCATTGTTAGTAAATAGATTGGAAATTATTATTTTAATTTTAATCATTTCTATATTGAATATTCGGTTAATAACTTTAGTCTTTTTATTGCACTTCATTGCAAATATTGTGTAAATCGACTCGTTGGCTTCTGAACTATTTGGCATACCTTAGAAAAAATGGATGTATGTGTGTGTGTGTGCGTGTATGTTTGTGTTTGCGGATACAAATTTTCGTCGACGATTTCGGGAACACGGATGAAGCGATTTGAATAATTAAAAAAACATTCGATTTGTATTGATAAGGAGACGTGCTGATTAGTTTTTAGCAAAGGCAGGTCTAGCCGTTCCGACGATATGGGGCAAAACGTGTCAAAAACGGTAACAAAGTTTTTGAGAGAACGGAGCGTCCGATTTTAAAAATTCAAAAAACATTTTACTTGTATTAACAAGATGAAGAACTGATTAAATTTTCATGAAAGCAGGTCTAGCGGTTTCGAGATCTAGTAAAAAAGTAAAAAAAAATGCCATTTGGCAGTCAAAAATGATCATTAGACATCTGATATCAAATTATCAGATATTTTATAGAGATTTTAACAATAAGTATAAATTTTGTTAACATTTCTATGGGTTCCGTACCAATGTTTATCCGTTACGCACTTTGACATTTCGTCTCTATGCAGTTAAACCAGTACGATTGCTTTGAAAAAAAGTTCAGAATTACCAAAATATTTCAAAATAAATTTTTCTTCAAAAAGTTTTTTTTTTTCAAAAAAAAAGTAATTTTTTTTAAAAAATTTATAGTTCCTCAAAAATCTAATTTTTTTTCAGAGTAATTTTTTTTAAAAAATGTTAATCTTTTTTGAAAATTTTTTTGGTACGGGAAGTTCCAGCAATTTGCCTTCAGGCACGATGCCATGCACCCCACTAGTTGTGGTTTTTGCTAGAAACTATTGCAAGAAATGTAATTTTTAATTTATCTCAACATATTCTACCAGGCGTTGACAACCGGTGGTTTATGGCCATTGTTTCATCAGGCGGCATGAACTCCTCTGGTCCATAGCAGTTTATAATTTTTAAAATATTTGAGGAAATTATACTTTTTAAGAACTTTCACAAAACCATTGACAATGAGACTTTCTTGCTGATAAAAGCAAACATAACGTGAAAAAGTGCCGCCTGGTAAATTATATCACAAATTATATCACGTACAAGCTGATCATATGGCCATCGAAAAAATGCGCCCGGTAGAACGTGTTAAATTGACGATTATTTGAGCAAAAGCTGTAGAAAGTTTTCTAAAAAAACATGCAATGTTGAATTCGTTTCGAAAATTATACCGAACACATAATGTATAAGTTTATGTGTTCAACAATGTGAATGTAGTGGGATAAACTGCTGATGTTTTCACAAAAATAAAAAAATATTCGCTTGTGGTTAAGATATCCTTTATACTTATGGTGAGCTCGCCCATGAATTAGTAGTTTAAGCTATGGGATTACTATCAGAGGCTTTGTGTTCGATACCCGCTTCGGGCAGTCTGATACCAAGTAGTAGTGACATCGGTTTTCATTTGAACATATTGATAGCTATATATTTTCAAGTAAAAATAGCAATTGTCTGTCATAACTGATTCAATTAAAAATGTATCACTATTAGGGTAGAACGGGGCTAGTTGAGCATAGGGGCAAGTTGAGCAATCGAAATATCTCGAAAACTATTCACCGTCCGTTTAGGCATTATATGGCGAAAAGATAGAGGTTTGGGAGAAATAAACATCCCACGATCGCTAGTGGCCGTTGGGCAAATGAGTGAGGCTCACGGGCGTTTTGTTTATTCTGAGACCAAAAAGTAAAAAAGTCATTCATCACGAGTTTTCGTCTGGTTTAGTCAAATGTTATTTATTTTTAATCAGGTAAATGTTATTTTTCCATATAATTATAGTACTTTTAATATGCATAGAGATTCTGGGTATAATTCTCACGGTTTTGTTATAAACTCACTTTTATTTTGAAATTCCGAGTTGGGGTTAGTTGAGCATAGTTGCTAAAGTTCTGTCACTAAAGTTCTGTCACTAAGACAATTACCATTAACTTCCAGAAATTAATTATTATTTTTAAGATTTAAGCTAAGTCTATGAGTAATAATATAAAGAAATAATGATTTTAAACAAAAATACTGAATATAATGGTAAAATAATTCCTAAGATACGATATTGTTTTGTTGATTGTACTTTTGGTTAATTATTCAAAGAAAATTACTATAAGTTTTGTTTTCTCTGTCAATAAAGACTATAAATATAGAACTGGTTATTAAAATCTTATTTTATTTCATCACTAATCGACATTGAACCTATGATTTAATTATATTTTTTTAGTGCTCAACTTGCCCCACCTATGGGGTACATCGAGCGCACTTGACTTTTTGCATTTAAACAGCTGTAGCTTTTAAATTTTACTTATTACCAAAAAACAGTATTAACACTTTTGTTAAGCGATAAGCAACAAATCAAGCCGTATAGCAATTTATTGAGACTTTTCATTGAGAAACTACATCCGTTTAAGTAAAAATTTGCTCAACTAGCCCCGCCCTACCCTACAGAAATTGTAATAATAAAATTCTTTACATAGAGTTGGGACAACTAATATAATATAAAAAAATGCTCACGCTATTCGAAAATGTTTAGATCTAATATAAATATGAGTTCGTAAACTGTAAAAAAGAATTAGTTTTCAAAGACCAAATATTTGAACACTCACATGGCATCTGTTCTAGTTGATATCATATCAATTATCATTATATGGATTTAGCTTTCTAAAATACAGGCTTGAAAAATGTATTTCTTACCTAAACTTCGTAATTGTTTCTCAAAATGTAAAAAATATTACTTAACTACTTTAATTACGTACATGGAACAAAACTGCGAGGACAGCCAATCCAAATTTTTCCTTTTTGGCTTCGGCAATACTTTTGTACTGAGCTGCATGGTGTACAAAGTGCAGTTCTACAGCATGTCTGTAAAACAATAAATATATTAAGTATTTTTTAATAGATTTAAATTATCTAGAAAAATCAGGGATTAGGATATATTTATTATATGATACTTATTTGATTCATATTGAGAGACCGAATCTGCCGTATAACAGAAAAATGTTATGGCAAGGCTATGTTATGCTCCAACTTCCAATAAGGCTACTGGATCATGCTGAATACTGTCAAAATGTCATGTATTTGCTGTGCATTCAGACGTTTTACACACAAACTGCAACGTCACTCATATGTTATAGAGCTGAGTCAGAAAGACCCTGTTATCTACGATCGTTTTTCTTGACATTTTTGCGGTTTCTAGATAAGGTTTTCTATCTGACAACCTAATAAATACGCCTGACTCACACCAACCACATTGATTATGTCAATATTTTGTATGGAAAGTTCTTGATAACATGGCCTTGGCATAACGTTTTACTGTTATGCGTTAGAATCGGTACCTGAATTTGAATTTAAAAAAGGTTATAGGAAAACTAAAACAAGCCTAACATTATTATACGATTAGAATGCAGAAACAAATTTACAATGTGTAAAATGTTTTCTCACAAGGAGGACCCGCGCGTTGCTCATCTGGGATTTTTATGAAATTTGGCATAATGGTAGACTTTATGCCCAAATTGACCGCGGTAAAATATTAGAGGCCTATGCAAAGTCAGTCTAAGGCCAACAAAATATATTATCGAAAATAGATAATTAAATCTTCTGAAAATCTTCAGAACTAAGTGTAAGTGGCACTTAACCTTCAGACAAAATGCAAAAATTTACCTATATGTGTATATAATCGACTATCAATAAAAATTGATTTTTAGCAACTTTTAAGACTGTCACGACAGAATTTTGAAATTTTGACACGGCTCATATTTCCAAATTTTGACGAATGTTTGTAATAAAAAGACATATTGTAAACTTATAATATTTTAGGTTGTTTATGCAGAATATACACTGGATTGATTACAAAAATTTAAAGCCTTTCTATGAAACTTGATAAGGACTCGTGTTGATTAGTTTTTCGCGACTAACAAAAAAGATAGCCTCGTTTAGCACTGTCTCGCATTGCGTTAAGCGGGGTATCACTGTTTATTAAATTTATTTGTGTACCTTATTGTGCCAAATTTGTGTTCAGATCCTCCCCAATGAAAATGCATCTGATCCAAGACGTAGAACCCTTCCAGACCTCCTCCGCTGATTTTCAGATCATCATCCTTGTCGAAGGTCACTTGAACTGATGGTGTTGCATACAACTCGTCAATAATCAAAATATTTTTCATAATATACTTTATTTAAAATTATATGATTTCGATGTAATGATTTTCTAAACAAAGTGACGAAGATCACAGTGCTTACGTGTGTGTCCATTATTTTGAATGTCTGCTTTGATGTCTTTGTCGTAATTGGAGAGCTTAATTTCTGAATAATGGGCCATTATAGCTTCAAATTTATTTAGAGTTATAGGTGATTGTTCGGTTCCATTGCTGCATAGTGTACCCCACTCTTCTCTTTCTAAAACAGAATATTTATAACTGTAGCAAACAATTTTCATCTATATCTTCTATTATTATCTAAAAACTTATAACGTATCTTTGACTTAAAATTCAGGCTATAAAATTATTAAGCAATTTGTATAAATTGTTAAGTTAAATTTGTAATGAATGAGATGTGCATTTGTTCGAGTAAATCTCTTAACTATCTACGTATTTTGAATTCTGTTTCTATTATCAAAAAAGTGAAATTCTCAGCGTTTTACTTTTTTATCAATTTTATGAGTAGGCAAATGCTATTAGGTAGCCTTCGGTGATCTTAAAACGTCATATGATAATGCAAAGCAATTTAACACTTGGCAATAATTGAATTCTCTATTACATCCTCAATCAGACACCATCCGCACTTATGGATTTTGCTTGTTTAGAAGCCGCTCAACATGCAAATAGGACATTAGACAAAAAGCTGGTAGACAGATATATACCATTTATTGATTACATGTAAACAAGTAATTCAAATAGACAAATTGTATTGTCAGACGGTGATATTCGATATAATATCAAGTCCAAATACAAAAATCCAATTTAAAGTTGTTTTGGAACGCAACTTAAGTTTTTGAGTAAAGTTATTCAATTATTCTGTAATTTAAAAGTACAGGGTGCGCCATCAAAATGTGATCAATGGAAATAGGTTTTGTTTGCGCAATGAAGGGGGTCATTTGATCGACATTGTTTTTCGAACCTAGCCGAAAAAAATAATGCTTTGTAAATAATATATAATAATAAAAATAATAAATTTGATAATAAAAAAAGTTGTAAAAATACATTGAAAATTGTTTATGTTATTCACAATTTCTATTGACCACATATAAATGGCGCAACCTGTATTACTCTTTAACTTAATTTAATTTGTATATTAGTTTTACTCTCTATTATAACACATTAAATAAAGTTTATTTATAATACACTGAATTGTGTAAATTTTGATACACACCATAATATACATATATATATACAGTATAAATACTTCAGATAAAAATAAATACCTGAGAATTAATTTCATATAAAATATATCTAATAATAGTAAACAAAATAACTAATTAACTACATATATATATATATATATATATATATATATATATATATGAGTGAGTTCTTGAGGGCGATACATCAAACAAAGAAAAGCCAAAGATTTATAAAATAATCTTTATTTCCAAACGTTTCGACATTCAATTTAATGTCATCATCAGTGGATATTACGTTGGTTAGTTACATATAGAGAAGTGTACACAGCACTAGAGATTTGGCACTAACATTTATCCAACTAACTTGTCAGCACTATGCATTTTTTTATATAATTTTTTTGTATGATGTAAACAGAAAAATGATAGTTTTATTGAACAAAAATGTAAGTAGAATTATGTAATTTCTGCCACGACTTCTGTACTTTGCTAGTACCGAGGCATGTATCGAGGCTTGATACATGCCTTTTTTTCGGTTAGCATCTTAGCCTTCATTTTTTTTCAGTTTGAACATTACACTTTTTCATTTTGAAGAGAACGTAATTAAAAGAAGATTCGCTGAGGGGTTGTTTTTATATACTAAAATAATGTTTATTACTTTTTGTTTTTATATAATCTGTAATTGTTTGTTGTTATTAACTTAGAATTAAACTAATTTTGAATAAGTTTTGTGTAAATAAAATAACAATGTGCTTGCTTTACTTTTACTATTTTTGTGGATAATTAATCTTTATATCTAATTTCTTATAATATATTATTATTTGCACTTTTATCCACTAAAAAAGCGTCAAATTAGGAGTAAAAACGTATGAGAGTCTATTAAATTATTTTTAAAAACATATTTTTTTTTTCTATTACCTGTATGGATGCCTGCTTAATTTTTTTTTTATTTATTTATATACCTTTCACCAAGGATATAGGAAATTCATGTTCATATGAAATACTTAGTGGCCTAGTTTGATAACTTATTTTTTAAATTAAATATTATTTCTTGTTAATTTATAACCAATTAATTCAATTAAAATATTATATAATTTTAAAAAATATGAATCTCTCGTGAATCGAATCAACTTCTATACACATTTTATCAGTTGAAACTTCTTATTATTAATAACATTATCGATCTAAACACTTCATTTATTTTGTATTAGTTAAACATGCATAAAATTAATAACATTATTAAAAAAGTGTAATATACGATTCACAATTACATTTCAAATCAATTTTAGTAATACATTGATGCACATATAAGTTTGTAAAAAAAGTTATTTAAAAAGTTTTTGTCCGATTACATTACTCTTTTTTTCTGTGATTATTTTGCACCAGCTCCCCCTCTACTAACATTGCAGACTGCATCTAATTTTACATAATAAAGAATCTGCACGCGACCTGTTGTAACTAAAAGGGTTTTTAATTTGAATTTTAAGTCTAATTAACATTGTCCTAGAGCTTTGATAGAGGAGAGCGGTATAAAATGTCTTGAAAGCTTCTCCAATAAAATCAACCATAAATTGTTGAAATTAAAAATACAGTAATTAATTGATATTAGATTTTATTTCAATTTGGTATTAAACCCATAAGTTGTAAATGAAATATGAAATAAATCGTGTGAACAAAAATGTGTGAAAATGTTTATCAAAGTTATATGTTAAAGGGTCTGGCATTACCAAAGTACCATAAATTTTATATGTGTATTTTTTTGTTACTTTATAATTATAATTAATTAAATATTATAATTTACAGAACATAATTAATTAAATATTATAATTTACACCGAGAACAAAAACACCATCAATTTTATATTTTTAATTTTTATATGTATATATATATATATATATATATATATATTGTGATTTGGAAAATAATTGAAACATTCCCGAAATTTTCATTCATTCATTTGGAAAATTGGAAAAAAATTTGAACATTCACGAAATTTTCATTAATTCATGTAAAAAATTGGAAAAAAAGTTTAACATTCACAAAATTTTCATTCATCATTTTTATTTTTTTAAATCCATTCTGTTTGGTGATAGCTAATAAGTAAAGAAATTCAAAGACAAAGATATCTAAATACTTTAAAATTACATGTTGATCGATGTGTTAGTTTTTAATGGTCATATTTAAATTAATTTTTGCTTTACCTATAAATCATTAACTTTATAGTAAAGCATTTTTGTAGTTGTTCTATTTTCAAATCTATTCTATTTACCGATAGCTAATAAGTGAAGAAACTCTATTATACAGATAACTGAACAGTTTAAAATGACTTGTTGATTGATATATTTGCTTTTCAATGGTCATTAATTTTTATCTGTAGTAATGGTCTAATTCCTATAAATCAATAGCTCTATTGTTTAATAATGCACCCGTCAATTTCATTTATCAATTTGCTAATGATTTACTCGAAATTTACTGGTGTATTAATCTTACAATTATTGCTTAGATTTCTGAAAATTATTTTTGGTACCTTTTTTGAATTTGCATTTTTTATGAAAATTTTAATTTGTGGCAAAAAGACTGACGAGTGTACAGACAATATGGTTAATAAAAAAAATTATTTAGAGCTGTCCTAGATATGTATTTTCTGACATTTCAAACGTCTTTCCTCTAAACGATTTCCTAGATCCAGTTAAAACAAAGACTTTGATTGCGCTAGAATTTCAATGTCACAGAGTAAACATACATGACACAAGGATTGAGTCATTTATTAATCAATAGACTTTGTTTAAATGACCGTACACTTTAAACTATCGGAAATTATAATCGACCATATTGATTTGTACTTCGTCACTTTCGAGATAATAAAGCAAGATAATTTTTTCTTGTGATTCCGTAAGTCAGTTAGAAAAAACTGGTCAATGGAAAACTAGTTATAAGGTACGATTTTGAAGTTGCGGTTTATATCGAGAGTAAGGATTACAAAATTATACATTTTTAATAAGCTTTGCTGATAATTATGTGATAAAATAAATGTTCTTTGTAGAATTTTATAGTTTTTAACTTGACTGATCTTCAACACTCGTTTGAAATTACGTAACATCATTGTTACATCTCAAAAATTAAAATATTAACTTATTGATATAAAATGATTAATGATAGAAAACATATATTACCTTTATCTATCGGATAATGAAATGCTCCATCTACCAAACCTGCAAACATAAAAAAGTATTAAAAATATTTACATAAATAAAAAAATATATTTTTTTATGTATTTTATTTTTGTTAATCAAGACTTTAATGTCTTATTTGCAAAATTGATATGTGCAAAAAAGAAATAATACAACAAAAAATACAATAAATTGAATATAAAATGAAACAAAGAATAAAAATATATACACACAAAACAAAACACTCACACACCCACCTATAAATATATTTATATACAGTAGGGCGGGGCACAAAGGTCCAATTTCACTTTTAATAATTGTATTATAAAAACCAATTACATCACAACAAATAACACATATCAAACAAATAACTCTCTTAATATGTTCAGTAAAACTCCCAGCTAATTCAACATTGTAAAAACGTGTTCTTTGCAGTTTTTCAAAAATTTGTTTCCTGGTTCTTTTGACCCCAAAGGCAGATTCAATGTTTTACTTTCAATTTAAAAGGGCTATTACGAAATAGTAGCTATATTATTCAACCAATGCAAAGTATAAATTCCGTGGGTACATTTTTCACAGAGATAACTCAGTATATAACCTTGATCTGGTATTTCGTCAGAAATAATCGTCAGCATAGTTGGAAAAACTATTTAACTTATCTTTTGTAAAATAGCTTTTGTTAACTCAATTTAATTTTTTATTTAGTATTTTTTTTTTTAATTTTTTATTTAGTAACAATTCAGTTGGTCTTTTTTACCTCACCCACATGTAAGCTTTTACAGAAGTTGTATAAAAAAACTATTGAAAATAACTAAACAATAGTGCTTACAATAAAAAAAAACTAACAACAAAAGAAAATACTTTTGTTATGGATTTTCAAACATTTCCCTTTTTCTCCTAATAGCAGCGTCTTAAGAATCAAGGTGATGGCTGGATATACATCTTTTGCCCTCTACTTTCAAATATTGTTGTTAAACAATTCTTAACTTTACTTGTTTTTGAGATATCGGTGGTGACCCTTTTTACCCGCGGACCTTTAAGCCCCGCTCTACTTTATTTATGTGTATATATACATATATATATATATATATATATATATATATACACCTATGTTATATTATTATTTTCCAAACGTTTCCGTTCGTGAATTAACAACTAAACTAACATCAGTGAATTTGAAATAAAAAGCAACTATGTACTAATATCAAACAAACGTCAATAACAATTTATAAAAGTACTTACAATTTATTTTAATATAATTTTTAAAAATATATGTTTTTACCAATTTTCTGTTATATTTGCCAATGTTCAAGAGACCCTTGACCACGTTTTCTATTTCAAGTTTAAAAAAATTAAGACTATCTATTTCCTATACTTATTTTTATTTACTGTTTGTTCTTTATATTTATTTTATAACAAATCCATTAAAATACAATTGCTACAAACATGATGTATTCATAAAACAATTATATTTAGCACCTTTTTGCTTCTGTTGCGCCTAATTAACACTGGAAGGTGTTAATCTATAACCTGTCAGAACAGAAGATGTTGATATTGGCAATATTTTCTTTTATTATTTAAATGATTTAGAAGCGAAATTTAATTATAGTCAGAGGATATTTATAAATGTTTCACTAGAAATGTTGGTTTTAGCATTTGGCTAATAAATGCGGCAACATTTTATGGTAAACTAGCGATGTCCAATATTTTGCCATTTTAGTATGTAACTTCATTTTATTCGTACACTTCATGAAGTTGTATAAATTATATTTATAGAAACTTTTGTCAAATATAAACAATGTATTTAAATCCAGTAGATTGAGGCTTTGATAGCCGTTTTTTTAAACTGATCGAGAGAATCAAAAGAAAACTAATTTTTTATCCGAGAAAACCAAGTATATTATAGCATATATAGCCAAACCAAGTTTATTTAGCACCAATATACAATATTTAATACCTATGAGCAAACATTTAAGACAGCTTAGAAGCTATTATTGGTATTTTTATCTTCAAAATATGCAATCCTATACAATATAAAAATAACTCGTTGGTATTGGTATTTTGGTAACTTCCCGACATGTGCAAATAATCGACTTAATCAATAAAAAATTAATTAATTTATTAGTGATTCAAATTATTCCGAGTGGATTTGTTACACATAATTGAAAACGAACGAACACGTTAACTGGGAGTATTTTCTAAAAGCAAATTTTCACAAATCAATAATTTTTATAATTGAACCAGTTTCCGTAGGACTTCAATGGTTTATTATGTTCATTAATACCAAGTACTCTATCGTTGTGCCAAGTAAATCGTCTAATTTTAATTTTAACAAACGTAAACAAAACTACTCATTTTCTCAAACTTCGATGAATTTTTAAAATTAAACGACTTGTCGTAAGACCGTAATATTTCAGTATGTTCTATAAGACCATGATATATATCACCAAAAAAGTACCATAAAAAGCGGCTTAAATTTTTTTCAACAGTTAATTACAAGAAAACGGGTCGGTAGATTTTCACTTAAATTAAACAGTATCATTCCCAACTAATATCTTTCAAACAGCTTCTGATTTTTTGAATTCGATTTGATAGTATGAGCTTAAATGTGGACGAAAAGTTTAACACTTTTTTCCAAATTACAAAGAAACGGTTCGGCCGATCGCTGCACAAAACTGAGAAAAGATAATCCACATCAAAATACATCGATTGGCTTTGAAGTTTTTGAAATCGGTTCAGACGATTGTGAGCAAACGTCGATGAAAGTTCTAATTTTGACAAATGCAAAACTGACGAATTTTTAAAATTAAACGACTTATCGTAGGACCGTAATATTGTAGTATGATCTATAAGACTATGGTATCTACACTATCTACCGTTAAAAAAAGAATCATTAAAATTGTCGAAATATTTTTTAACACTTTATTACAAGAAAACGACCCGGCCGACCTTTACCAAAAACTAATCAGGTCGATTCCCAACCAATATCTTTCGAACAGTTTTTGAATTTTCAAATTTAATTTAAAAAGTAAAGACATCAGCAAGTATTTGATTGTAATTTCCGTATTTCTTACAATATTTACTATATCACACACTCAAAAATAATAACAATAATATTTACTTGACATTTTTGTTATGAAAAATTAACGAATGTGTAGGCAAACTAACCATCACTGGACTAATTTCTCTAATTTAATCTACATCATGTTTTTGGTGAAATAATTTGATTTTGATAAGCATAACCTTCACTATTATATTTAATAATTAATTTCCTAAAATTGATGCTAATAAAAACTTGTTTATTACTTTAAAAATTAGTTTTCGTTTGGATGTTATGGCAGTCGATTTATGTGAAATGAGATGATCAGGGACAGGGACTTTGGTACATGTTTATGATGGTATATATTATTTATATATGCCATTTGTAATAAATACCATAATAGAATAAATGCATTTATATAGTTTAATATAACAATTGCGGTTAAATTCCATTGTTTAAGATTATATTAATGGATATATCAGATTATCATACAATCTTAAGAATTTATATTATTTACATATATTAACATTTATATATATATATATATATATATATATATATATATTCATCTATTTACCAAGATATTAAATTTCGTTTGATAATGACACACATTGGGTCTCAAAATGAATCGAGCTAATTTTCAAATCGGGTGAATGTCAATTCTGCAAAAGTAATTTGGCAGCAATGCAAATATTCTGATATACAAATATACAGAAATCTAAATTCAATTAATAATAAACAATCTACCCATATTTATGGAAATGCAATTTCTATCAAGGTAAATGAAAATAGTTTTGGTGGAAATGGTACGAGTATGAAAATAGTTTTGGTGGAAATGGTACGAGTACATTTAGATGTATTTATTCTAATAATACTTAATTGTTTATCATTTTGTCATAGTTCTATCATGATCTCTTTTACCTCAAACTATTAGTCAATATATATATATATATATATATATATATATATATATATATATATATATAGAACCAGTTGATATTTCTAATATTTGATATAATACTATTAAATTGCGAAGAAAATTTGAATAGAATGCAAGAAAATATGGACAAAATGACAAAGTGGCCTTATTTATTTTAAAATTGGCTAGTTTTATTAACGTTTCCGCGACTGTATAATATGAAGAAAGCCATAATAACAATCCAGTCAGATGTTGAGCGTCATTGTCACAGTCTACAGTCTTCAGTTTAAATGTGTTTTGTGGCTTGAAAAATTATTTTGAAGGCGGTTTTGCCATGTTTTTTGCGAACTTATGTATTGATATTCGTAATTATTTAATATAAAATTAATTAACTTAAGCCAGTACTAGTATTTTTGATCAATTTTATTGCAATGATCAGGTGTTTAGCGGAATTTTGATTAATTATTCAATGTATAAAATGATATAGTACTATTTCGCAGCGTTACAGGACCAAAAAAAAAAGTAAAACTTGTCAAGTGAATGGCTTTTAATTTCTCCTCCAAATATGCAAGAAATAATTGCAAAAAAAAATAATCCAAAAAATTCGCCAAAAAAAGAAGAGACATGTATTTGCTGCAAAACCCTTTTCTGTAAACTATACCCTTTGGGTCATGCTTCATGTGCTAATTTCACAAAGAGGACGAAACGATTTCTTTTTAAACTGGTTTTTAAAAATTAGTATCTCAGTATGTCCTTACTTTATAAGTCCATACTATATGTACAAAATGATTTTTGTATTAAGTTGCAGTTGCTCTTAATAAACATGTTATTATAGTTCTTACTCAATTAAAATACTATCTTACTGGTAGTGAATGAACTAAAGGTGAGTAAAAACAATTAAGACTGGTTTGAGATTGAGACCGGATCATTAAATAAATAAATATCATTCAAACAAAACACCAGCTTCAAAATATAAAAATTAAAACTCAAAATCATTGACTTATATCATTTTTTGTCTTATCTACTGAAGAAGAATCAAATTGGACTCGAAACGTATGGAAGTCTATTAAAACAACTTTTAGATACATTTTTTTCTATTATCTAGATGCATTTCAGATGCATTTGTATGCTCAAAAGGCTTTTTTATTTTTTATTTTTATATATATATATATATATATATATATATATAATTCATCATCCAAAAAAATATCACATAGACCCACATATACATAAAAAAGAAACACACACATACACACACACACATATATATATATATATATATATATATATATAAATATTCATTACTGCGGGTCGATTTAAGGGTCGCTTAGGCACGTATGATCTTCGGATTTTAGAGATCAAAATAAGATACTTTACTGAAGAAACTATGCCTCTAAAATGAATTCTGATATCCCATGCATTGACCCAAAGATAAGGGTTAAATTTGGAAAAACCTCTCAGGGGTGTTCCAGGAGGTTAACCACGGGCAAGGGTAAATCGGTCTTCCAAAGTTATTGGGGTCGGTCATACATTTGGACGCCATTGGAGGAAGTACTGTAACTGGGTCAAAATGAAAATTTTCTAATTTTAACCCTTATTTTTGGATCAATGCACGGGACATCAGAATTTATTTTTGAGGTATGTTTTCTTCAGCAAAGTTTATTATTTTGATCCCTAGTATCCGAAAACCATAGGTGCCTAAGCGACTTTTTTTGACCCATATGAATCGACCCGCTCTATTATATATACTGAGTTAACGCTACTGATTTTTTTTATAATAAGAAAAATCAAATAATCATATGAATAACGTAGAAAAAACACGCTACTTCTATTGCATCATAATAACTATATATTTATTATTAAACAAGTAGTTATACCACGGGCCATCCAAAATTCCACAGCAGAATTCTTGTGATAATTAACTAAAATAAATCCTATTATTCAAATTAATATGAAAAATTTTTGATAATTATGTATCGAATAACAAGGCGCAACTGCCCTAAGTTGCCCCACTCTGCGACAAGAGATTTGTACTGAATTTTCGGTAGACCGATTCGACTCGCATTTTACAAAATATTTTATTTATAATTTAGTAACATATAACACCTAATTTGATTTGTCTTTGCAGAATTTTTATCTTCCGAAATTTAAAACCAATTTTGATAAAGGTGAGTGGACCCGAACCGGTGAAAACGATATCAATAGCATCCTATGATAAGCGGTCTTCGCAGGCGAGACTCAATAAATTTGATGAAACTTATTTGGCTCTTGGCGTGATTTTGCGATTTTTTTGTACAAATTTAGAATTGCACTTGTTTGCTGCAATACTTGCAGATAGAAGTATGCGTTTCTAAAATAGGTGGCATTATTTATTTGTTTTCGGCGTTGCAAATCACTCTTCTAGTTGAGGTTTAATAGACTGCCTACGCATATGCCGGTCATAATAAATATACATATATACATATATGAATACATATATATATATATATATATATATATATATATATATTTATATGTATGTGTGCTGCCTGAAATCACACGATGCAAAATTAACGATTTTGCATAAAATCGCTACCATATGATTTTACCTAATTATAGGTAAAATATGCAACAAAGTTAGATAAACACATGTCTTTTTAATTTTATAATTGTTAGAAGAGGAAATATCTTCTGATAGTACACATTGTGTAATTACTTTACTGGAGTGTGCTAATGTTTTAAGGCATGCACTCCTATTTTTTTTAAATATCTATAAATATTTTTTTTAAATAAATAAATATTTATTTTTAGTTTTTTGTGGATATATTCAGCTATAAAATTCTAAAATTACAGAACAAAATAAATTATATTGGGAGTTCGCAGAATAATTCTGTCATAATAAGTTCAACTAATTTGAATAAAGTACAATTCTGTCTATTTTTATGCTCTTTAATCTTGCCAAAGATTTTTATTAATAATCTTGGTTCTTTAATTTTTAGTTTTTAGATTTTCAATTTGAAGCTTCTATTTAGAGTTGACAAAAAATGATACTTTGGTTCAAGATAAGTTTATGTTTTCAATTCAAAATTATATAGAAACTAGTGGTGTATGGCATCGTGCCTTAAGGCAAATTGCTGGAACTTTCCGTACCGTAACGAAATTTTCCAAGAATATTAAATGTTTCCATATAGACTATTATAAATACTGTAACATTTTTAGTTAAGAGTTATATAAACTGAATTACAAAGTTAAAATTATTTATTTGAAGTATATAAGTGAGCTTTAGAACTTTAATCAGAATTAAAATCAAAATCTGAATTATTTTCGATTCGCAAAAAAAATTTTTTTGAGAAAAAAAATTGATTTTTTTTCTCAAAAGCAATTAATTTGTCGAAACAAGCAGAAAGTTTTTTGAATCATTCAAATCGGATGCTTATTTTTCTCAAAAACTGCCATTTTTTGCACATTTAGCACGGTATCTCCGAAACGGCTGGACCTGCCTTTGCCAAAAACTAATCACTACTTCTCCCTGTCATTACAAATTGAATGTTTTTTGAACCATTCAAATCGGATGCTCTGTTTTCTCAAAAACTCGATTTCTATTTTCTCCACTCTTTGCTAGTATCTCTGAAACTGCTGGACCTGCTTTTGCCAAAAACTAATAAGCATATCTCCCTATCAATAGGAATCGAATGTTTCTTGAACCATTCAAATCGGTTGATAAGTGCGCCCGAAAACGTGGACGAAAAATTGTATCCATACATACACACACACATCAATTTTTTCTGAGGTATGCCAAAATGTTCAGAAACCTTCAAAACGTGAAGAAATGTAAAAAAATTTATTTTCGATTTTATTTATTTTGAATAAATAAAATAATTGGATAAAGAAACTGCTGACTTTTACTTGTTTACAAAGTAAGAGGCAAAAAGATGAGTGTAGTGCCTTTTTAAAAATTATTAATTAAATTTCAACGGCTTGTAGTGCAATCCTATAATCAAAATATATTATTCTTCATTTGTCTATTTCAATAGCAAATACATGTGAAAATTTGAGGGTTGATCCTTAATTATACAAAATAATTTATGATCCAAATACCTTAAAAGCTTCAGACAGTAAATGTTTTGGTGTTTTATTTCCTAACATAATTGCAATAGCAACAAATACTAAAGATATTAAATTTACTTGATTGAGAATTCAAAAAAAATTGAATTAAGTTCATTGTATTTTTAAATTTATAACAAAACTAAGGTATAAATATTGCAAATGATTTTTTTCATTCCAAATGAGTCCTGGTTTCTTTCTCTAAAAATTGAGGAGCTTTTCAATATAAATGATGACTATTCTCAATAATCCATATTGACACAAGTATAGCCATATAAATAAAGTATAAATTTAAATTGAACATTTTCGTTGCAGACACGTTTTGCACTGCGATATTTATAAATAATATAATGTTATGACAAAAACGCAGTCAGTCATAAAATTTAGTGAAGCATTATTTATATTTTAATGCTATTTTCGTTTATGGATTATACAGTTCATTAATTTAAAATATTCAAGCACAGAAATTTTGAAAAACCAAGCTATTGTTGATATCTTTTATTATTACTACCAATAGTAAGATTCTCAGATATAATGATTAATAATTGAATGGCAGCGCTCGGTAAAATATACTTTTTAAATAATTATTGCAATAAACACAATGTGTTAATATAACATGTAACGTTTTAATAATATATTTTAATTTTATTGATGTATGCAAATATATTTTCATTTAAATGACACCTTATTTTCGATTTTTAAATGCACATATGAGTGCAGTATTAGTATTCCAAGTATTCGAAAATGCATATATTTAAAATTGTTTTTTAAGCTTTTGAAATATTAAAAATTGCAATAAGTAGAAAATAATTGGAAAATAATAGTTTTTACAAAAAATAGTTATTTTTATCGGGTAAATACGTCATTTTTTTATTTGGAAAACAAATATTTTATTACAGGTACAAAGAAATTATTTTCATAATATTTTTTTTATAATTATTTGTTTTAACATGGATGTTTTTTATTATTAAATTTTCGCAGGGCAAGTTATAGTAATCGCAAAAAAACGAAAATGTCTTTTTTTATATAATTTTCTTCTGAACATTTTGGCATACCTCAAAAAAATTGATGTATTTGTGTGTGTGTGTGTGGTAAGTATATATGTTTTGTGTGTATGTGCGGATACAATTTTTCGTCGACAATTTTGAGAACACGGATCAACCGATTTGAATGATTCGAAACACATTCGATTTACATTGATGGGGAGACGTGCTTATTAGTTTTTGGCCAAGGCAGGTCCAACCGTTTCAGGGGTAAAAAGAGTCATAAATAGTAATTCATTTTTCGAAAGAACGGATCATCTGATTTTAATGGTTTAAAAAAATTTTTACTTGTATTGAAAAATTGAAGAACTGTTTGAATTCTTGGGAAAGCAGGTCCAGCCGTTTTTGGGATTCAATGAATAAAGTAAAAGAAGCTATTTGGCAGTCAAAAATAATCATTAGACATATGTGCATCAAATAATGAGGTATTTTTTAGAGATTTTATTGAAAATCAGAAATTAAAAAAATTAAATTTTTCAAAAAAGTCAATTTTTTTCAAAAATTTCAAAATTCTCAAATAACTATCAAAGTTTTCAATAAAATTTGGAGTTCAATTTATGGTACGGAAAGTTCCAGCAATTTGCCTTAAGACACGATGCCATGCACCAATAATGATTTCATATATTTATACCACTTCTATATTATTATACACACACTATATAATTACTATAGATGTTATTCATCTGTTTGTTACTCAAAATCACATACTTTTCCTGCATTTTTTAAAACCGCACTGTACAAATTTATATTCTTTATAAAATTATATACTTTTATAAATATGATTATTCCCTTAAGTTTTATTAGTTTATTTTATTTTATTTATTAGTTCGGTATCCAGAAAAAAATATTTATTTAGTCATCACCAAACTTACCTTTAATTTGCAGAACAAGAAACGTTAAAATTAAATATTTCCACCACATTTTTTGCAAAATTTTCACTTGATAATTACTTATGTGACCGAATTCGACGATCCTTATTTTTGTGTGATTTTTTAAAATTTTTACTTTAAAAGTCTCTTTTTGTGGTCTTCAAAAGTGCACTTTTGAACTGAACATCATCTTTGGTAGAGAAGCGATTTATAAGTACGAGACCCATACATTTGAACCGCGCGGCATTAACGACCATTGGTATATGAATATGTGGTCTTTATGTGGGTGCATATGTATTATCATTTACTGATTGTGTACGAAACAGAGTACAGGGCTAGAAATATTTGAAACCAGATTAGAAAAAATAAATTTTTAATCTATTTTTTATGCACATATTCGATTATTTAAAATGAAATATATAAGAAATTATACAGTCTTCTGAATTAAATACTTTTTTTCGAAAAATATGATTTTATAGTACTATTGTACAAAATAATGATCAAAATTAGGAACAATAATGTAGTGGCCATAATGCAATGATAACGATGATAATATATTTGTGTATGCTCGAATTGCTCTTATAGTCAATAGAAAAAGTAATGTGCATTCGTGGGAACTACACTTTTTTATATTTTTATGTTGAAGTTCATAGTTTTGTTGCTTGATGCATATATCTAAAGACATAAGGATATAATCAATATACAAAAACAAAATACAACAATACCGATATAATAAGGGTGTTCCATGGTTGGTTAAGCTCATGAACTCATGTGGACGAGAGCGTGAATTCGAATCCTTCCCTGGATGACCTGGCACCGTGCAGTAGCGATGTCCATTTTCACCTAAAAATATAGATCAAAAATATTTATTATAATTAGAAATAGCCCATTTTAGGCACTGCGGTGTGAAATGGCAATGGGAAATATCTTACACTATTCTTCCCTGAATTGAGTTAGAGTTTAACCCAGTTTAGGGACTTGCCCTAGAGCAGTACTACCCATTATATATATATATATATATATATATATATATATTTTGCATCATTCTGAATTTGATGTTGACATATGTATTAACAAAGTCTAATAATCGGGCATAACATCAATAAAAACATGAATTTCTTTCAAAAATTTATTTTAAATCCATACGTTTCGGCTATAATCCTAGCCTTCAACCAGTCTACGAATAACACACTATCCATTTGTGATTTTTTCAAATCAGTATTTTGTGAAAATATTGTGTAATTTCAAGTTAATGTTTATAATACATAGTGTAGTGCATTACCATATCCTAATACCATGGATTATTAAAATTTTCCAATTTAACACTAAGATCAACTAATTTTTCCACTGAATGAAGGCTAGGATTATAGCCGAAACGTATGGATTTAAAATAAATTTTTGAAAGAAATTCATGTTTTTATTGATGTTATGCCCGATTATTAGACTTTGTTAATATATATATATATATATATATATATATATATATATACATACATACATACTTTAATTTTTCTACATTTTTGTGAAACAAAATTTTCATTATTTTTCCTATTTACAAAAAAAGATTCATGATTATTGACTGGTTAGTTGTATCAATGTTAGTGCAAAATTTTGTGCTGTGTACACATTTTAGATGTTAAATACCAAGTTCAATATTCACTAATGATGACATCAAATTGTATGCCGAAACGTTTGGAATTAAAGATTATTTTAAAAAATTTTTCTTTGTTATATATATATATATATATATATATATATATATTTATGTTGCCTTCTAACTTTATATTTAGTGATAATTTTTTGTTAATATATTAATCTTGATCTACCATTGAGCAATAGATGATTTCCTTATAAAATTCAATATAATTGAGTGATTTTGTTAATTAAATTTTTCGAGTAATTATTGTTTTAGTCATCTTACTGACCAATTTTTTCTGCATTTAATATAATGCAGGTATAAAATTGTTTTCTTTAATATATTTCTGAATATCAAGGTATAAATTGTTCTCTTGCAGATTAAAGGCAGTAACTTAAAAATAGTTTCCTCAATTTTGCGTTTGCCTCGAATTTTATATTAGATGCACCCAAATTCATATTAGATATTATTTCAAAGTGCTGAATGTTTATATTTAGTCCAATCAATTAAATACATAACTAGAAATTAAATTAATAAAATTTTATCATCTTGATATTACATATTCTACACAAAGTTGTATGTTTTGTATGTGGCTTGTGACAATTGGCTTCAAATTGTTTAGTATTTTTCGCAATTATTACAAATTTCTAGATAAATATTTCAAACAAATAATTAAATCAATTTAATTAAATTCTAGTCTCTAGTATAAGTGTATACAACCTGGTTTGATATTTAAATATTTTGCGAGATGGTCGTGGATTTTGCTTAATAGGTTAAATATGGGTTTAGTGTTAAAAAATCAACTTTTGCTAATAATGCTTCTATCTAAAATATAAATACTATATACCTAAATATGTATATAAGAAGCTTGGCAATATATTAAATTACTAAATAATATACTTTAAATTAAACTTTAAATATTTTAGATTGACTATAGACATGTAGGACCTACGGGTGAGAAGTCTAAATGAAAATTTGGCAAAATGTTATGTTTATATATATATTGAAATATAATAATAATATTAAATATTATCATTATTATAATTAACTATATGCATATTAATTCATTAGATGATGTGGTTTACTGGTAATAAAGGTCCTTGGAAATATGCAACCGATCTACCGGTCATGTTGTAAGAAATGTATATTCTAAATGATGTGGTTTACTGGTAATAAAGGTCCTTGGAAATATGCAACCGATCTACCGGTCATGTTGTAAGAAAAGTATATTCTAAACAAATGCCTGCTGCATTCAGATATATATATATATATATATATATATATATATATATATATATTTTATATATATATAATATATATTGCGATGTAATAAAACCGAAATCACGGTACCGAAATCATTGTATCTCAATTTTGATGCAATTTCTTATGTCCGTATTACTTATCTCAAAAATGTGGTAATGTGGTACCATGGTGGTACAATAGTTTTATATATAGCGATTCTCAATTTTTATATCGATAATTTAAAAACTAAGTATGTTATCGTATTTTCGAAATTTGTTTATAAATGGCATTATTAATGTATTAGTATGTGATAGTAATAGCAGTTATTACTAGGAATAGTTTCCACCTGTTTTGAAAATAACAACGCAAATGCGAAATGGTGTAATTAAGTTATCAATGTTTATAAACATAATGATTTCATTCTGAAACTAGCAAGATTATAATAAAAGTAAACGAATAAATTGATCGTATAATATTCAAACTAGTGTATGGCATCGTGCCTTAAGGCAAATTGCTGGAACTTTCCGTACCAAAAATTATATTTTTTCAATGAAACTTTAAATGTTTTGGAAAACTCTCTCAAAAATACCAGATCATTTGATGTGCCTAATTATTATATTCATTTTGAAAACTAAATGGCATGAATTTTACTGGATCTCAAGAACTGAAATCTGCTGAATGTGCTTCTAAAAAATTTACGGGGCAATTCTGCCATAACATACCGTTGTTATTGACAAATTATGAAAATGTCTATTTATTTGCTGTTTGATCAGGCGTATTTCACATATAAACAATCAAGGAAGAATGTTATGATAACTGCATCATCGAAGATTCTGTTATCATAACAATCTTCCTTGCTTGTTTATATGTAAAATACGCCTGATCGTGAGGCACATAAATAGACATTTTTACAGTTTCACTACCAATAAACAAGCATAACATAGCGTTGCCATATAATTAATATACCATGGCAACGCTATCTTATCGTCTATGTTAATTGCACTATTAATCAGTTCATAAATAGAAATAAAATGTTTTTTAAATCTTTCAAATTGGACGCTCCGTTATCTCAAAAACTGAATTACCATTTTTGGCATCTTTTGCATCGTATCTTTGAAATGGTTGGATCTGTCTTTGCCAAAAACTGATTAGCACGTCTCTAGGAATCGATAACTCTTTGACCGATACGGGTATATAAGCAACAAGTATTGAGATTTAGATTAAAAAAAATTCACTATCTTTTTCGAAAATAAAGTTGAGTTTTCACTAAAAATTAATCAAGGGTATATTCTATTAATATAAACTACAAATTAATGCAAATTTATAGTATCTCTAATTGTCTAAATTAAACCATACTAATACTAATTAATGCATAATAGTATAAATTATACTCTTCTTTTATCTATGAATTAAACTAATTTATTTAAAACATTTTATTCAACTTCGTGTTTTAGAATGGATTTTATTTATGTGTCAACATGGTGTCAACGTCAACGGTAATCAGCAGTATAAAGCATAGTTCGCGCAACTATTGTTCTAAACCACTCTATACTCTGCTTTATCAATGTTCCAAACCTCGATTTTTATAATTCAACCGTTTTTCGTTGGGCTTATAAGCATGTTATATCATACAGTGTTCCATGTAAATCATCGTAACATTCAAATTTGAGATAAAATGATTCAGAATAGCGAAAACTTTGGCGAAATTTTTGGCAAAAACATAAACTAGCAGTTTTGGGTAGGCCTAGGCACTTATAGTCAAATTGCTATTTATGTTGAGTCAAATGTGGGCAGAATTGCTAGAAATTCATACTTTTTTCACCTATTTTCAGAAGTCAGAATCTGTTTTCTCAACATTAAATGAGTCTTGTAATAAAATTCTTCAAATTTATTTTCACATCAAGGCGCAGCACAAAATTCTACCCGAGCTCTGTTTATTAAAGAAGTAGCTACGATTCCACTTCAGTACGGTAGCTAGTAATTAGTACGCATTTAATTTTATCGAAATGAAGGATGATAATAAAAAAGTTACATGATAATGAGAAATTTATGTGCGTTTTTATTACTTTCAATAAAGATTAATGCGCAAAGAATTCAATCCCATAATTATATAATTTGCAACTTAGGTAAGTAGAGATATGTTTAAAATTCGAATGCGATTTAACGAGTTCATTATACTCAGTTACTATTATATAGAGAGAGGCGTTGTGTTGCTAATTAAGAAAAAGATAATCATTTCCTTATTTATATGTATTTTGAACAATAATTAGTTAAATGAGTTAAGTAGAGATTTCCGAAA